GATCATTGCGAGGGGCTTTTGCCAAAGGACTTTATCGTCAATAATACAAAGAGCCTTAAACACCATAAATAACTGGTGTAGGGGTGACAGTTTATCAGTTAATGCTGATAAAACAGTTATAATACCCTTTACCAAAAAGATACGGTTGGACAAATTAGTCCAACCAAAACCTAATGGTAAAGAAGTACCATTTTTCACGGAAGTTAAGTACTTGGGCATCACAACAATCGACCAAAAACTAACGTGGAACTCTCACCTTAGCAACGTATGCCATAAGGCAAAAATTACTTTAGGTACGTGCAGTCGTTTGGTCGGGAACAACTGGGGCTTGCGTCCCAGTATAGTCCTATGGCTGTACAGCAGCATAGTGAGGCTGACTCTCACGCTACGCTTCTATTGTCTGGTGTAACAAGGCCAACCAAAAGACAATTGCAGACAGACTAAATCGATGCTCTAGAAGACAAACATTTTAATGCCAAATGTATTAAATGAGCATGCTCTACGGATCCCACTCATCCAAATGACATTATTCCGTCTCTTTTTGCCTAAACTGTATTTGTACATTCATAGTAAGTGACGTCATTTTGAAGCAAAAAAAAGTAATGGCAGTTATTTACCATCAGTTTAACTACAAAAAAATGCTAAATAGATTTATGACATTTCGCTTGTGTTTACCATGATAGAAAAATAAGCTAAATATTTTTATTACGTTTGTGATTTTGTAACTTTCAATTTCCAATTATATTAAATGATATAAATATTTTCAAGTGCCGGAAGACAAATGGTTTATGTGATCGTAATACTACTGAAAACTCGTCAGCAAATAATAAAAAATATTAAGTGCTTTAAAAATACTAGGTCAGTGTAGACAAATATTGTAAATGATTTAACAACAAAGTTCTAAGTAAGCAACAGGAGCCCGAGAGTACTAAAGTTATTTGTACGTGTCGGCGTTTCCAACGAAAACGACCGATGTTCCAACGAAAATCTCCGATGTCGACGGTGATGTACAAAACGACTTTGCTGCCTCGGTACCGTCGTTTTTGCCTGCAGTAAACACCGAATTTCCCACAAATATGATAGATACCGCCGCCTCCACTACCTCGGTGCCGCTGTTTCCATCCGCAGCATCCGCCGACACTCTTAAAGAAACCGCTTCCCCAGCTAATGATCTATATATTACTTTTAGCACTACTTTTGAACCACAAGTTAACACTTCATCGATTCATTTGCAAAGATCACGCAATTCTAGACAGTCACCACTTCTTAGTACATCGAATAGTACAAATATAGAGCAAATAATTCTCGATCTTCAATTGTCAGACTCAAATGATTCCCCTTACGTAGATTCTGAATCGTCTTATCTAGAAAATAACAAACCTGCAACTTCATCTGATATATCTCGGGACGAAATTGAGGAAACAAATGTCCGAAAAAAAAGTAAAAAACCAAACCCAGAGACGTGGAAGAGAAATATAGCAAAAAACAAACGTCAAAGCGGTAAATATTATATCAACAGAAAGGGTAACATTGTTAGCGCAAAAAACTGTGTTCCTACAGAATGCAGTAAATGTAGATACAAATGTAATGAAAATTTTCCTGAAAATGTAAGAGCTGATCTCTGTCGTAATTTTTGGGGACTTGGTTCTCCAAGTCGCCAAAAATTACAAGAAAAATTATAAAAAGAAAGCAAATATCAAAAAATTTTCCTTCCACCACGCAAATATTCAACGTATAACGGTTGCAGCTACAAAATGATGCGCTATGTCTAGACAGTATTTTCTTTGTCACGAAAACACAGGTAGACACAGAGTTTGTCAAAAAAATTTTGCAACACTTTGTAAAAAAAAAAAGGACAAGGGATTAAAAAAAAAAACCAAAAAGGAAGCCGCAAAGAAAAAAAGTCCGGAAAGAAATATAATTCCTATTTCTTTGTATGTTTACGAGAAGATTTTCAAATCGTATGACCCACCACTAGCATTTTACAAACCAAAAAAGGATCAGTGCACTAAATGCAATGTGTACAAGTGTGCTGAAGACAAAACCAGTTTATAAAGAGACTATGATGAACATAAAGCAAGAGAAAAAGAATCTTTGGAAATGAAGGCATACGACAAGAAAGAAAGCATAGAAGGCGATGGTACGAAGCGTGCAATAACATTTGACTTGCAGGCAATATTGTCAGTGCCTCACACCGCTGACTCTAAAATTTACTACTTACGGAAATTTTCTATTTACTATTTTAGATATTACGGATTAGTAAGCTGAAGTGGCAATGGGCCGGCCATATAGTTCGAAGAACCGATAACCGATGGGGAAGAAAGGTTCTCGAGTGGCAGCCTCGTACCGGTAGGCGTATTGTAGGGCAACCCCCACTAGATGGAGTGACGACCTAGTAAGATATACAGGAAATCGATGGATGCAAGTGGCTCAGGACCATGCCTTGTGGCATTACCTGGGGGAGGCTTATGTTCAGCAGTGGATTTGTGAAGGGCTGTAATGATGATGATGAATGATGAAGATAATTATCAAAATATAGGACTATGTTATATGTGGGACGAAAACAACGGAAAAAAGGCAGCGCTGAAATTGGTTCAATTTTACTTGTACTTGTATTACTAGTAGTACTTGATGGATTTGCCTGAAAACTCTTACATCCTTTTCAGACACCTGCAGTGGTCAAAATCGCAACAAATATGTCAAATGGCAACATTTTATGCCGTAATAAATGTTCCTCATTTGAAAACAGGTAACCTTAAATACTTGGAATCTGGCCATTCCTACCTGGAGGCTGACTCTATACATGCAAGTATAGAGCGTGCCCGAAAGCATAATAAAATATTTACTGCAAGAGATTACGCTTTAGTTGTCAGTTCTGCGAGGTCCAGACCCAAACCTTAAGATGTGATCATGATGAAATACCCCGATTTCTATGATTTAAAAGCTTTAGAAAAGTCATTGAATTGCAACATGGTAAAAAACAAAAATAATGAAAAAAAGTGGATGACCATCAAATGGATACAAGTAAAAAAGGAGTCTCCGGGATCGGTATTTTACAAATATAAACTAAGTGATACGACTTTCAAAGAAATTGACATTGCTGCATGTAATAAAAAAGAAGAAAAAGTGATCAAGTATTTCTAGTTTATACAAGCCGTTAAAAAAAGCATACAATTCCCAAATGCCAATTTCAAAGGCTAAGAAGAAGGATTTGATGACGCTGCTGAAAGATGGAGTGATCCCAAAAGACTACGTTGATTATTACACTAACATTCCTTCTATTGATGAAGAAAATATAATTAACGATTGTTCAGGCACAGAGTCCGATGACTGACCTTAGAAACTTACAGTTTTAATACTTAAATAATAATACTAACGTAATACTTACATGTTTGATTTGTTTGGTAATAAAAAAACTTTTACACGTAATTTTTTTTTAATACATCGGTACTAAATTCTTCATTATACCCTAAATTAATATACAAAACACGAAAGTGTTAAGTGAACAATATTATATAAAGTTTGTTTATTTAGACATTTAGTGTAGGTGCATTATAGATTGGCGATGGAGTGATTAGGGTGAGACCCGTAGACAGAGAATCCTATAGACAAATTGACGCCTTCGTTCGCATTCGCACACGAAAAGGATAGATTTATGCATACGTCTTGCGTAGAAATGAGACAGAGCGGTGTGATTGTTTGTCCATTTCTCCGTGCCGGTTTTTTTAACAAGTTGTTTAGTTACACAACACTTTGCTAAACAACTCTGACAGTTCGTAGCAATCTAAGAAGTTTACAAGTTGGTTTAAGTGAGAAAAAAGTGTTTTGTGAGCTTAAGATTGGTGAATCTTGTTCAGTTCAGTTCTCAGAAACTCAGTTCTCAGACTCTCAGTTCTCTCTTCAGAAAAATTATAATTTTTATCTAAATATGTTTAAGTCATAAAGATTATTGTATAACCTAAAACTACGTTATCGTCCTTTCTCACTCGAGACCACGCTAATCATTAGTCTATAAGTTTCTCTGTCTACGGTGAGACCCGTAGACAGAGAATGCTATCTCTGTCTACGGTGAGACCAAAAACGGATGAACCGGTGTGAGTGTAATGCGCATGTGTGCGAGACGAATAGTGCTGTACCATGCATCAACTTCAATTATCGATACAGAGTGCTCTGTCCGTATCATAAAATGAATATCTTGATGTTTGAGGGCATAAAAATAAAACAATAAATAAAAAGTTTGTGATTTTTATTTTTCACCAAAAATATGTACTGAACAATGGACTTAACCACAGATTCCACGCCTTCAGGAATCCATGGCATATATGATACGAAAGCAAATCAAATCAAATCAGTTTATTTTGTGAACATAGGTTATTTTACAGATCTCAATATATGTCCACAGTATAATAAAAACATATGTCATAGTAAAATACAAGGTAGGTTCTCTATGTCCCGCCAGTAGGCATACAAAATATAAAATAATAATTGCTTAATATTTTTTCTTCTCTTCTGATGTCAGTTTCTAATTGAAATAATGTATTAATATAAGAAAATTTTAAAGATAAGAAAGGTATACTATAGTCTGCGCGGAAGTGCTAGTCATCGCCTTAGGTATGCAAGCGGCGAGACGGGGGAGGACGCGATTGACAAGACGCACACGAGATATTTGAGGACAGATAAATCTCCGGATAACCATGTTAGAAACTGTCTTAATTAACATAATGGGTAAATTATTTATATTTTCCGGGCTAAACAAAAATTAACACGTATTTAAAAGCGTTAATTAGATTTTATTATTTATAATACAAAACAGTTTTCTAAACTCACCACCCAAATTAAACCTAAATTACCTTACTGCGAGAATTCTATGTTCGACCTGTGGGTTCGTATCACAAATAAGGAGGTTATTAAAACCTTGCGGTGTCTAGACATGAATAAAGCTAGTGGACCAGTTGGTATACCAGCTATAGTTCTATAGCGAAATCCGTTATAGCACAAAATTAATCCATATCTTCTTCTTCTTCATTACTATACATGTCTTCAATTTCCATATCCTCCTCAGAATCTGAATCGTTTCCCAGGTTTATGATCAACTCGTCTATTACATTGTCAAACCTCATATCGTGGTCCCAATATTGGTTCTCAATTTTCTGTACGTGGTCGTCACACTTTTGCCATCTTCCCGGAGTGAATTCAGAAAACAATTTTGTGATGATTGGAATTTTGTCGTCCAATGAAGTATTTATATAATTTGTAGCTAAATTGTTCTTTATATCGGCCCACACAAGCTCAATGGGGTTGAGATCAGGATGATATGGCGGAAGGCGAAGAACGATATGACCTGAAGCCTATAATATTTCGTTAATGACGTAAATTTTTTCGGACTGAGTTCTATTTATCAAATGAAAGAGTTCGGCTTTTGTATTATCTGGTGTAAATTCAACATTACGTTCGCGTAACCAATCTTGCATGTCCCTTTTTAAACTTGACATAGTAGGTTTTTTCTTTACCTGTACACAATGGTAGGAGGCATTGTCCATTACGACCACTGAATTAGGAGCTAGTTTATTTTTCAATTTGTGACTAACCCAGTTATGAAAATTTGTGGCATTCATATCGCCATGGTAATCCCCACATTTCGAATCTGATTTGAAAATTGTTAAGGCACCGTTAACTAATCCGTCTCGGCTACCACCATGAACAATCACCAAACGACGCCCTTTGCCAATATCAGCATAAATTCCAGGCTCAGATTCGGATTGCCAACACATATTGGAGGTGTGGCTACTATTAACGTAGGTTTCGTCCAGATAATATATGTTTCGGTTTTCATTTCTATGTTTCCGTATAGCTCTTAAATACCTTACTCTCCATTCAGCAATACTGGGCCTCTCAATTAAAATGTGTCTCTTAGATTTACATTTTTTAAATAAATATCCCATCTTATGTAAAAGCTGTCGTAAATAGGTACAACCGCAGTTCACAATGCCATCTTCTTTTAAAACTGCAAGCAGCTTACGAATACTTGGGATTTTCTTATCACTAGTATAAAATTGATGAATTTTTCTTCGTATAACTCCCATGTCAAAATCATCAATCTGGATTCTCTTTTTTATTTCTTTAGGTTTCCGCGGAGATGAAAATTTTGCAATTTCCGATGTTTGTAGACTCGAATTTCCTTCAGCTACAATTCGCATTACGGTGCGGGCAGACACTCCTGTAGCCTCTGCTACTAATTTATTAATGTTCATATCATATTTGTGTTCCATACTTTCCTTGTCGCCCTTTCGTCTTAAAAAAAAACTATGTACATTATAAATAATATTTTTCACTTGTCGTGGTATTGGCGGACCCATCTTAGAATATTTATCTCGTGTATTTTTGGAGAAAACTGTCGCGTACAACTGAATCGTGTAACCGTCGCGGCGGTTGACGGCAGACTGCGTCAGCTTGATGTTTATCTACCTCCCCCGTCCTGCCGCTCACATACCTAAGGCGATGACTAGCACTTCCGCGCAGACTATAGTATAATATAACATACAATAATTATCATCATTTTGTCTAATTGTCATCTAGTATTAATTGGCACATGTCATGATAGGTATATATTCAATGTAGTATTTTAATGTTAAAATGTGTCGCTAAGGAATTCATCTAAAGAATAATATGCTTTTTCATTTAGTAGATCAAAAAGTTTACGTTTATAAATATTAATGTTGTCACAATCTCTAATGTATTTAGGTATTTTGTTATATACTTTTGGTGCCATTGCATATATACTCTTCTGTAATAAAACAGTTCTACTTGATACTAAATGAAGCTTATCTGAGCGACGTTGACTTTCCACGAACTTATACATGTTAATATTACGTTTTACAAAAATGCTTGTTTCATAAATATATAATGAGGGAAATGTTAGAACTTTTAATTTTTGAAAATGCGGCTTGCATGTGTTTGTGCTTTTTAAACTACAGATCGCATGTAGACATTTTTTTTGTGCGATGAATACTTCGCGAATGTTAGGTGCATTGCCCCAAAATATAACGCCATCTCTCTGGTTTGCAATTTTTCCCAACATATAAAGAACGTATGCTAATTGGTGCAATTTTTAACTAATATAATCAATTTGAGTTTTCCACGACATATCATTGACTATAAATAGTCCCAAATTTTTTTTAACCTTTGTTTCTTTTACGTCTTGACCCATATATTTGATGTGTAGATTTATTGAGGTGTTTTTTTTTATTTGAAATGTCATCATTTTCGTTTTGTCCATATTAATTTTTAGGTTGTTTTCTTTCAACCAGTCAATAATTGATATAAGACTCTTATTAATTTCACCTTTTATTTCATCATAGTTATTACTGTTGTAAATTACAGTGCTGTCATCGGCGAATAACGACATTTGATGTCTTGTACAATTTGGAAAGTTATTTATATAAATGATAAAAAGGAGAGGGGCAAGTACTCCACCTTGAAGAACTCCGTATTTAATCAATTGTATGTCAGAAGAGTATATTTTTTCGATTTTCGACTTGATATCTATTCGGGTAATTTGTTTTTATTTGTTTTCTGTCTTGTAAATAAGATTTCATTAGCCTATGCACATTTCCCCTAACTCTATAGATGTATAATTTGTCTAGTAGTAGATTATGATCTACATAATCGAAGGCCTTAGTCATATACATATACATTGCCACATATGGTTTCCTACTATCCTTGTTCCGGTATATTTTCTCTAGAAAGTATAAGCCATATTGGTGTTTTTGTTTTTTCTGAAGCCCATTTGTTCTTGGCATAGGATATTATTCTTTTCCAAATAGTTGTATAGTCTAATATAAATAATTTTTTCGAATGTTTTAGAGAAAGTCGATAGTAACGCCACCGGTCTATAATTACTAACATTTGTTCTATCTTCTTTTTTATACAAAGGCTTAATGATTGCAATTTTTAGGTTTTCTGGGAATATTCCACTTTGAATGCATTTGTTTATATTATTACATAGTATAGAAGCTATTAAAGGTGCTACTTCCTCCTGTAGCGTCGATCAGGCGACACATGTGTATCAGACATAAAACACCTACGCTCGCTCGATCGAGATACACATGTGTACTACAAGTACTACCCTTTGAAAAAGAATTTTTTTAATTTAAACAAAACCAAAGACATTATGCAATAGATAATAGTATCAAAGACAAAGATATGCTCTTTTATTTTAAACCATAACCTGGCAATGTTTCTTAGAAAAAAAAAAAAGAAATCACTCTGAACTTTCGGCGTTCCACGTGTCGCTTTGATGAAGGTGCTCCGTCTTTTTTATAGAATTTTATATTTGTGTCTGGACTAAAAACGAAAGTATTATACTTTTTTATATTCCTTGTAATATAGTAAACACGTAGATATATAATTTGTGGTAGAAAAAGTGAAAAGTAAATTGCCAAAAGTACTTCAAAATCCGGAAGGCCCATTTTGGCGGTTGGATCATAAATGTGTTATTTTTCAAATTCTCATTTATTTTTAGTGTAAAATGTAAGTAAAAATAGTTTTCTTACATATTTCAAATAACTTGACGTTGTATTTATTTCAAATTCACACAAAACTATTTTTGAAATATGTTCGAAAAATCATACAGATAAAATATTTAAAAAAAACACATAAAACATAAAAATATACATATTTCTAAACATTTTCATATAAATTTCTCCAAAAACAAAAGTGTAGAATTCAAATTAGTAGTAATTTCGTCACTAAAATTGAAGTATATACTACTACTATGCTATACAGGGTAATTTATGTATTTTATTACAATTTCTAGCAACCAAAAATAATTTTATTCGATAGTTTATACATTCAACAAGAAATCCTGTAAGTTTTATCCATAAATATTGTCTCAAAGTGAAAATATAGCAAAATTTGCAATATAGCAAAAAATTTTCTAACTTACAAATTTTCCCGCCATTAAGGTCCCGAGCGAACGGGAGTATAACATGTCGCGCGCTGTCAGAGCGTACAGCGTTAATTATTTTAGTGTGTATGTTATCATATCCTGTGGTGGTTGTATTTTTAAGGTTTTTAATGATTGTTATAATTTCTTGGGTTGTTGTTGGTTCCATGAATATTGATTTGGCCGATTTGTGACTGTAAGTGTTTTTTTTTTGTTAGTCCCTTTTTCATTATTAGTCTGTATTTGATTTGAATAATAATTATTAAAATAATCCGCTATCAATTTAGGATTTGTCACGTACTGTCCTTGGATCTTTATTCCCTCAATATTTTGTTTAGGTATGTTTGGCTTCACTGCATTTATTACTTTCCAAGCAGAATCTTCAATATCGATTTGTCCCGAGCCAATAGCCACCTCATTGTTTGGCGACGTCAATTTACTAAGGCCAGTTGTAGTATTTAATGTATCTATAGTACACGATCTTTGTAGGTTAAGCATACCAATATTCTCCAAAGACAAACAATTCGCTGATTTGCACTTCTATGTGAAATATTAATCGTTTGTATGCTGCTGTGAATTGTCTGGCTGTAGGATTGTTGTTAAATCCTCCTCTAGAACGTACTGCACTAAAAAAAAGTTTCTATATGGTCTTGAGATAGTTTATAGGTCGGAAGAAACTAATTTTCCTGACATGGACCTAGAGACTATGGGAGATGACGTGGTGGCAGGCCTGCTGTACACCTTGTTTAATTTATGTTGGGAACTAAAGCGGGTACCGGGAGACTGGTGCAAAGCCGTGATAGTCCCAATATATAAGGGAAAAGGGTCACAGCAGGACTGTAAGAACTACCGTGGTATCTGCCTTCTTAGCATTGTGGGAAAACTGTATGCTAAGGTACTAATTGAAAGAGTTAAGAAAGAAACTGATGAAAAAATTTGGGATGTGCAAGCGGGATTTAGAAAGGGAATGGGGTGTACAGATCAAGTCTTTTCCATGCGCATGATCGCGGAGAAGTTTTTGGCGAAAAACCAAAAAGTTTTTTGTGCGTTCATGGACTTGGAAAAGGCTTATGACAGAGTGGACAGGGATGTGTTATGGCAAACGCTGAACGCATTTAGGTTGAGCGCTGGTTTGATACAGGCATTAAAGTCTATGTACAGGACTCGAGTGCTTGTGTTAGAATCAAAGGGGTCTACTCGGACTGGTTTGGCATCCATAAAAGTGTCAGACAGGGCTGTGTAGCTTTCCCGTGGCTGTTCAACCTATTTATGGACAGCTGTTTGGAAAATTTGAAAGTTGAAGAATGCGGGTTAAGAATGGGTGAGTTAACCATCAAATGCCTTTTGTACGCCGATGATCAAGTCATACTTGCGTCGTCGGCGGCCGAGTTGCAAATGATGGTTACATTAATGAACAGGTCATTAAAAGAAAGGGGAATGAAAGTGAATGCAAGTAAGACGAAAGTGATGGTTTTTGAAAAAGATGAAAGCAAAACGGTATGTGAAATAAGAATAGAAGGAGAGTTAATTGAGCAAGTGGATGAGTTCGTATATTTTGGATGTGTATTCAGCAGGGATGGGAGATATGATAAGGATATTGAACGACGAGTGAATGCAGGAAATAAAGTAAATGGGGCTCTACACTCTATTGTGAAAAGTCAGAATGTGTCAAAAAAGGCACGTATGGCAATTCACAGTGCTGTATTAGTCCCTACTTTAACGTATGGTAGTGAAAGTTGGGTGTGGCAGAAGAAGCACGAGAGTAGAATAAATGCAGTAGAAATGCGGTCGCTAAGGAGTATGTTAGAGCTGATTCTGAGTGACAGGGTGAGAAACTGTGTGATAAAAGAAGAGTGTGGTTTGCAAGATGATGCGGTGACCAGGATTAAGAAAGGAATGCTTCGGTGGTTTGGTCATGTAGAAAGAATGAATGCGGAAAGACTGACAAAGCAAATATATGTTGCAGAAGTGAATGGAAGAGTCGGAAAGGGACGTCCTAGGCGGAAGTTTATCGACCAAATTGGCGATATACTAAAAATGGGCCAAATTAAGAGTACCCTTAACCGACGAGCATGTATGCGTAGGTATATGGATGTGGAAGAGGCGAGAATGGTATGTCAGGATCGTGCTAAATGGAAGTCTGTAGTCTCTGCCTACCCCTCTGGGTGACAGGCGTGAGTGTTTATGTATGTTTTATGTTTTTATGGACCTAGAAAAAAAGGGCGAACGAAGTCTCGCTAAGAAACAATTGACGCACCGCAAAGGCAGCCGTTTAACTATGTTGAGGAGACATATCAGTGAGGGAAAGTATTTCATGCTGGCACACCACCTGCAACTTTACAAGGCGCAGGTTCAGCCGCACATGGAATACTGTTCCCATCTCTGGGCTGGGGCTCCTTAGTGCCAGCTCCT